CAATCAAACGTTCTTTTTCATATCGTCTCCATACGATTCGAGAGACCTGCTTTCCACGGACACCTGTTTTCCACTTCCCTTTTGTCCTGTTTGTTTTCTAAACACAACACACTGCTTTCCCCGTGCGCAACACACACACCTTCAGCTTTCCGTCTGTAATAGCACATAAGTGGGACCTATACTATACATGCGGGACTCATACCGTATATATACTACTATACAATCCATAGGACTTACTCCTTTTGACCAGTTAAGTTATATACTATACATGCGGGACTCATACTATATGTACTGTTTAATCCATAGGACCTACTTCTTCGACCAGTTAAGCTATACTATACATGCAGGACTCATACTGTATATACTATATAATCCATAGGACTTAACTCCTTTGACCAGTTAAGTTAGATGCGTACTGCCGGTATTTGGACATCTGGTGAACGGAAATGGGCAGGCCCTACCGGGTTCTCCCCCAAAACAACACCGAATTGGTTTCTTTTTTTTATCATTTAGGTGCGCTCGCCTACCGCGCCTAGGTTAGAGACACCGCGGGCGCTCGCCTACCGCGCCTAGGTTAGAGACACCGCGAACCGATTTAGAATTTCGTAGAAGCTTCTTGGATGGACCGGTAGATTGGAATCAGGCGTGTAGTCGTCCAAAACGTTTTAGATTTTTGTGGAAATTTTAGATTTTTGTGGAAATTTTAGATTTTTGTGGAAGCTTCTCGAAACCGTAGATTAGAATCGGACACCTTGTGAATCGATATGGACAGGAGGTATTCTAGAAAACTTGGACGGACCCACTATGCCCTGCGTCAAAGGACACAACGATTTAGACTGACGAGCGCATAAATTGGGTGGGCCCTACAGAAAATCGTGCGTCACTCGCGTGTGTGCTGCGCACATCCACCTAACATCCACCTCGATCGACAGTTTACAGGAGCAGCAGGGCCGTGATTCAGCCGCATATGAGACGAACATGCAAAACCGATCGACAGTTTACAGGAGCAGCAGGGCCGTGATTCAGCCGCATATGAGACGAACATGCAAAACCGCTTCTCACTAATTTGATATGTTTGTCGGTCCTGATGGTCTGTGCAGAATATCAAATCGGTTGATTTGATTGTTGGACTAAATGTGGTTTGGCCAAAACTAATTTTTGTTGAATCAATCTGCCTAGTAACTCTATCAACCGTCCAAACTGTTAAATCATTCTGTCCAAAATGCCCATCCTTTCTCCCAACCTATATCTATATGTCCAAAATGCTCATCATTTCTCCCAAGCTAAATCTGGTCCGTCCAAAACATGCTCATCACTTCTCCCAACCTATATCGGCTGTCCAAATCGGTTCTGATAATGTACTAAATAGGAAAATCGAACTGACCAATTCGGTTTGATGGCTGTCCAATTGCATTTTCGTTTGTCCAAATCGCTTCACCTTGATTCTAAGTTACCTGGTCAAAGGCGTAATAGTGTATATGTGGGACTTAGTCTATACATGTGGGACTCGTACTATATTGTCACTCTATACATGTGGGACTCGTACTATATTGTCTCTATACATGTGGGACTCATACTATATGTACTATATGTACTATATGTACTACATGTGTGTGGTTGCGTGCTTTCCACTTTTACTGTGAGCACTTTTGGGAGGCATTGTGTTTCAGAATCGTTTTGGTTCGTTCGATAACAACTGCACACAAGCTCTCGCCGAGCAATCAACGAAATCGCAATTAGCATTTTGGCACACAGGAGAATCCAAAAGGCGTACGGAATCAGCACCAGACGCGCTGCGCCCCGCCCCGCCGCACCTTCTTATCAGTGCGAGCCGGCCGGCTAAAACGCGCACGTCTGTTCCCTGCCTTTCCCCCCCAATCTCCCCCCCCTGCCCCTCAGATATATAGAGAGAGGGCACGTCCACGTGTCCACCGAAGGGACCGCTCTCGAGGTACCTCATTTAGCAATCTCATCTCCTCGCTCCCCTATTTCCCGCCCTCGTCCACCTTTATTTCATAATCCCCCGTCGTCTGACTGCCCCCTGTAATCCTTCCTGTCTACCTACCCTGCCATATTTCCCGCCATATCCCTTTCCTGGTTTCCCCCCCATATCCCTTTTCTGGTTTTCCCGCCATATCCCTTTGCTGGTTTTCCCGCCATATCCCTTCGCTGGTTTTCCCGCCATTTTCCACGACGGCCACTCAGACACGCAGCGTCGCGTATCCCCCAACGCGTATCTCCCCAACGCGCACACATATAGAAAAAGAAAGCGCGTCCACGTGTCCACCGAAGGGACCGTTCTCGAGGTAGCCCGTCTGGCAACCTCACCTCCTCGGTCCCCTATTTCCTGCCCTCGTTCACCTTTGTTTCATAAGATCCCCCCTCGCCTGACTGCCCTGTCATCCTTCCTCTCTGCCTACCCTGCCGTATTTCCCGCCATACCCCTTTGCTAGATTTCCCGCCATTTTCCACCACGGCCTCATCATACTCGCAGCGTCGCGCATCTCCGTCCTTCCAGATTTCCACAACATCACCACCACTCCTATGTACCTGTCTCCGTACTCTTTTGCTGCTATCCTTTCTTCGTCCAGACCTGCACCTCCTACAATCGTGATAATCCGCCTAATTCATTTTGTCCATGACTTCACCATATCCCGCTGCACGCCCGACTGCCTGCCTTCCTGTCTGCCTCCGTGCTCCTTTTCCGTTTTTCACCTTCACGCCCTCATAAAACCCTTCCCTGCCCACAATTCCGCACATCGCTACATTCTTTTTTCCCTATTTCCCTCCACGTTTCCACACCCCCACTACCTGCCTAACTGCCAGGCTCGCCCCCCTCACTCACAGACTTCTCTCTCGCCGCTTCCCTTCGTCTCCCATAAGGGCCATTCCGTGTTTCCTGCTGACCTCTCTCTCTCTCTCTCTCTCTCGCACGCCTCCCCACTCGTCACTCCATGTTTCCTGCTGACCTCTCTCTCTCTCTCTCTCTCTCTCAAGCCTCCCCACTCGTCACTCCGTGTTTCCTGCTAACCTGTACGTTTCCAAAGCTGCCCTTCACACATACTGACACATTAAGACCAGCCCGCGAGCTTTGCTGAGGGATACGGGGCACCGGGACTGCAGTCGGTGGAAAACGATAAGCCATGTCTGATTACTCAGAGCACTATACTTATTGCGACCTGAACGAGGACTCGGCAGAGCTGCAGCGTAACAACAGCTAGCGAAGCTTCAATCCGAGGCTTCCCAATTCTCTCAGGTAGCACCATGAGAGGAATTTGAATTTTCGGAAACGACGCGCCACGTCCAGTTCCACACGGGATCGGGACCTGGAAGACAACTCAGCAGAGTGGCGCAACAGGACCACAGGCAAAGAATCTGAAGCCCGAGACTTTTTTTTTTTTTTCCCGAGACTTCATACTAATTATACAGTAAATTCCCCAAAAGGGCACCCGTGAGACGAATGGACTGACAAGCGCCTTGGATGTCATGACCGACCGCTTTTTTCTCCTGGTCGTCCGCAACTTCGCATGACTTCGCGAACGCAAAGACAGGTCGCCCAAACCATGAAGTGTGCCATGCCTGGCTTTCAGGGGGGGAAAAAAACACGGGGGGGTAATACGCATTGACTGACAAGCGCCTTGGATGTCATGACCGACCGCTTTTTTCTCCTGGTCGTCCACAACTTCGCATAACTTCGCAAACGCAAAGACCGGTCGCCCAAAACATAAAGTGTGTCATGCCTGGCTTTCAAGAGAGGGGGGGGGGGAGGAACACAAAAAAAAAACACGGGGGGGTAATACGCATTGACTGACAAGCGCCTTGGATGTGTCATGACCGACCGCTTTTTTCTCCTGGTCGTTCGCATAACTGTGCGAGGCAAAGACTGGTCGGCCAAAAAATAAAGTGTTATGCTTGGCTTTCAGACAAAACACTGTGGGTGATACGCACATATTCCTGATGATTCCTTCAGCAAACCAAAACTAAAAATAATAAAAACAACATAGAACATCTATAGCCAAACAACATAGAACCCAAAAAAAAAAAAAAAAAAAAAAGAAACATAGAACATAGAACATCTATAGCCACCACGCCAACTTCTTCTAGCAATTCAGTAGCAATCGGCTTTAGGCATTCCTAATTTAAAAAAAAAAAAATCTCTCACCTAAATATATATACAGCTAATCATGGCCAAGTCGTTCGACCGGGTCCTCTAAGACAAGCGAGACGAGAGCACAGGCACAGAAAGCAACTGCCGATTCACCCAGCCATTCAGATACGAGTGAGTAATTGTGCATCCAGCAGCCTGCCTGCCTTCCGGTATAAGGATAAGAAGAGTTGATGACTCTTCCCCTGATCATGGATAGAGATGGTCTGATGGTTCTCTCACAGATATGAGCAAATCAGGCAGACGCCACAGAAACAATCATACAGATATTACTTGCATTCAGGCGGCATCGTAATCCTATGAACGACATCACAAATACTAATTCAGCTCTCCATCAGAACGATTATGGAGAAAACCTCTCGCCATCAGAACGCCAACAGGCGGCATCGTAATCGTCTGAGGAGAAAGCCTCTCGCCAACAATTTCCTTTACAAGTAATTAAAAGGAGAGCCCGCGGGGGGTGGGGGGAGAGGAAGGGATAGAGAGGGGATGGGAGGGGCGCGGATGGGGGGGAGATGGACGAGGGAGGAAGGGAGGAAGGGGGGGTTGAAAGGGAGGGGAGTTGGGAACGTGAGTAAGCATCATAAGAAGGAAGGGAGTCGGAGCACTCCATCTACGAACGAGGTGAATAGGGCAAAGGGGAGAAAAGAAGAACGGAGAGGAAGCGGCAGACGAGGGGCAGGAAGGGGGGAGAAGGGAGGAGGAGAGTGACGGAATGAAAGATAACGGAACGGCGTGAGAGGAGAAGAGAATGAAGAGGGAAGTAAGGAGAAAAGGCCAAAGATCATCCACTCGGTGGAAAAATAATAGACAAATACGTTCCTTTGAGGTTCCATTTAGTTAGATGCATACTTCAACGAAACGATAACCAACCAAAGCGCGAAGCGTTCGTATCCCTCTTCCGCCAGTCGTGTCTATCTGCGAGACCAGGTTTAGACAGAGACATAAAAGAAGGAGATAATCTCGACTGAGAAAAGAAGAAAGAACCTATCGAAGAATATATACAGTTTACATCAGTGTGAACAAACAAAAAAAAGAGCTTCAGTTGCACTACACCTACTCGATTATACAGCTCAAGAAAGAATTCTTGACTGCATCATAGAGCATATACACCAAAAAAAAAAAAAACACCACACCACCTCCTCGATTATCAGCGTGATTTTCCGCTGCCCACCATCAAGGGAATGATTGATTGTTTTCCTTTCTTCATCCATTCATTTCATTAAACAAAGAAACGACCAAAAGCGCTCAAGAGCTGAACTGCTATGTTACACAGGTAATAAGAGGCCTGATGACAACACCAAGTGGCCGTCAGACGGTGACGACCATTGATTTGCTTGTTCGTGATAAGAAAGTAGGAAAGTTTCCCTTCCTCAAACAATTTCCCAGATACTACAATACACACACCAGCAGACAGACAAGACAATACACACCTCCGCTCCGCTTCAATGACCGAGCTCCTCGTCCCTCAGAGCTCTTTGCATCTTTTCCCTACCGCGATCCTGCTGACGATAATAAAGAAATCAACGGCCGGGCCGGGGTACAACTTCGGTGTTCATAAAGCGGCAGCAAACATGCAAAGAAACCATCATCAGGAGGAGTGATTACTTCAGCTGCCCTCTCTCTCTCTCTCTCTCTCTCTCTC